CCCTCCCGTGGGCACAGCGCGCAGCCGGAACGCGGTCGAGCAGGGCGCTTGCCGCTCAGCCGGTTTCTCCAGTGGACTGACGTCCCAGTGCGGCAGCGCCCAGCCGCCTCCTCCGCTGCAGTGGCCTTTATCTCAGCGGGCTCCGCTCTGGGGAGCTGTCCTTGCCTTGGACGAGGGCTGCCCCAGCCCTGCCATCCCAACAGGGCCCTTCCCTTGGCCCTGCTCTAGCTGTGGCACCAGCGCTTTAAAGAAATCCAGCTGCTTCTGTCCTTTAAGCTGTTTAAGTTTTTTGCTTTTTACTTTGTCTGGGATCAAGGTCACGTCCAGGTTGACCCACCGACTCTGCAGTTCCACTGCTGCTGTCTCACAAAACCGGTATCTGTTGGGGGGAGGGAGTGTCTTTCCCTCCTCTTTTTTTCCCTTCAGCAAATGTGGTTTAAATAGTGAAATACGTAGGTGAGAAGATAATTTGCTGGTGCTTTCCAGTGTATTGATCATTTAATCTGGAGTATCCAGATGTATACAAATACCAAATCAGCACATCGTTTTTATGAACAGCAAAACATTTTAATGTACTTCATAGGTTACAGAAATGCAGAACTGATTTGAAAGATTGTGCATGGCCTGGTTGTTACCTCTCAGAGCAGCCCGCCTGTGGCTACCTGCTCTTTAAGTGAGCTCATTGCTGTCGGTATTGTCATTTGTTACGACATGATTAGAGAGCTTTATAAGGCTTAGGTTGCTCTCCCTTGGAATGAACTGTCCTTGAGAAAAATAACCGCTATGATGTTAGCATCTAATCTTGGAATATGATGTGCTCTGCTTAGAATTTTAAATACTTACTTTCAAGAATGGTGCACACCAACATTAATTAAGTTAGCACGTGTTCTGGGATACTGAACCAGGCTGTTCCACAGCTGAAAGCTCTCAATACGCATACCTGGGATCGTAAGGAAAGCAGGCAGACACCACCAATCTGTCAGGCAGTGTGCCTAGTCTCCTCAGTTAATATGAACGTTTGTACGGGAAGGTCGGTGACTGTTGCTAGCAGTAGGATTGATTTCATACACATTCAGACCGTGTTGCCTGTACAGATAGCATGCAGATGTTTGGGTGTCCAGTGCCTTCAGCCACTCCCGTACGGAATCTGGATCTCAGGGTGGAAATTTTCATGGGTTCAGGCTTTTCCTACAGCCTTCCTCACATCTTGAACAGAAGTGTGCTTCTTCCAGTGAACTAGACGAGAAGCCAGAAGGACAGGGAAGCGAGAAAGGAATTGCCTAACCGTTTTATTTAAAAGGCATGTGTTTCCGTTTGGATGCCATCATTTTCTATTAGAAGCATTCCAGAGTCAAGAAGGACCACAACCGAGCTGCTGTTTCCTGCTTATTTCAAATATACCTTTTTTTTTTTTTTTTGCCAGAAAGAAGCAGCTTAGAAGTTCTTGGAGGTTTTCAGATCTTGGGTAATCAGGAAGTCTGACCTAGTGGTGGCGGTTGTTTAAACCTTCAGAACGCCCTGGTTAACAAGATGCCCTTTTTGAGAAATTCTCTTCAGTGCAGAGAGGGAGATGGGAGGTGTGACTTGCTTGTGGAAGGGCAGAGATCTCAGCTCTGCTCTCCTTGTCCCTCCAGCCAAACCTCTGCCCCGCCTTTGGGTGAGCAGCCTGGGACCTCTGCTGTGGCTGAGGTGAGGCGGCGGTTGTCTGTCCCCCAGGGTGGGCAGCGTGAATCCCAGCAGGGAGATCAACAGGAGCTCAGCCCAAACCTAGGACAAGTGACTTACAATGGATCAGTAATAGCGCAGCCCTAACCCAGCGTTTTTGCTAGAGACGTACAGGTGCCTCTTTTGTTTGTGTTGCTTAACGTACGGAGTGGAAAATTATGATACTAATTACAGGGCTATTTATTAATCACTAAATAAGAGCTCTCCAGATCTGAAAGATCTGTGCCTCTCTTTACTCAAGCAGATGAATGACAGTCAGGTGACATTCATTGTATCCCTTCCTTTATCTCCAGAGGAAAAGACTTAGTTATCTATCTATCTTCTAGACTGCAAACAAATGACCAAAGGAAATTACCCATTTTTGTCTTATTTGGGAGGCCTGTGTTTGGGTAGAAGACTCCAGTTCATGACCCAGAAAGTATTTCTAGGCAATGAAAGAGAGCAGGCCATCACGTGGGCGGTGGGGCTGACCAGCCCAGCCCAGCGCTCTTGGAGGAGCAGCGACAGGTTTGGTGTGTGCTTCGGAGCGAGGCAGGAGAGAGACCAGGAGTCTCACACGAGCAGGGATGGTGCGAGCGCGCGGCAGGTACCAGAAGACTTGTGGGTTTTGACGGCTCAAACAGGCACCACCTCCTTCCCCTGCCACTCCCTGCGTCGTGCTAGCTGGCAAAGCGGTCCGTGTCGCTGCGGGGGGACTAGACCAGGGGAGGGATCTGGCTGCAGAATTACCTGTAAGGCAAGCGGTTTGTTTTTCAGCTGAGGAATTTGCCCAGCGTGTTTCACGAGTGCTGCAGAAACAGTTCTGCAAGCTCCGAGCTGTGAGCAGTAGGGCTACGGGGCTGAACCAGAGCCGTGGAGGTGCCTGAACTGGCTCGTTTGGCTCTGCTGCAAGTGTACATCCAGGGCCTTGGTCGCCGCGTGGAAGAAGACTATAAATAGGGTCATGCTGGAATGACCCTGGGCAAATGGATGTTTCCCGTGAACAGTTTCACAAACGACGTTGCTCTTGTCCTTCAGGGATGTCGTTTCCGAAGCCTTAGATGATGGGCAGCCCGTACTGGAAGCAGCACAGGGGTTAAAAAGCAGCTAGAGCGCTAGCATGGATGGAAACCAAACAACCACCAAATTTGGTTTGTTGCAGGGATCAGAGCCAAGGTCCTTGAGGAAATACTGATGATCCGAGCTCATGGGCACCCACCTTTAAAAGGAAATTCCATCTGCTAAAGTGGTTTTATTTTTGTACAAACTTGGTTGCTTTCGTCCCTTTCTGTTTCCTATAGCCTTTGGAAAACTAAAATGACACACGCGGTTTTGGTTGCGGTTTGTGAAGAGCCGGCCGTGAAAAGAGCACAGGTCGTTGTTTTGAACAGAGGGGTTGCAAGGTGCGGGAAGAGGGGGCCGATGTTTGTGGCGCTGGCGTCGGCGCCGCGGGAGGGCTCTGTGCTGGCTCGGGGCCGGGCTGGAGCCCGCGTGCCAGCCGCGGGGGTGCTCAGCCCAGCGGCATC